CGCCTAAGGATAGACCCCAAAAAATAATTTTTAAAAAATCCACGCCTAGGATAGACCCCTAAAAATAATTTTTAAAAAATCCGCGCCTAAGGATAGACCCCTAAAAATAATTTTTAAAAAATCCACGCCTAAAGATAGACCCCTAAAAATAATTTTTAAAAAATTCACGCCTAAGGATAGACCCCTAAAAATAATTTTTAAAAAATCCACGCCTAAGTATAGACCCCTAAAAATAATTTTTAAAAAATCCACGCCTATGGATAGACCCCTAAAAATAATTTTTAAAAAATCCACGCCTAAGGATAGACCCCTAAAAATAATTTTTAAAAAATCCACGCCTAAGGATAGACCCCTAAAAATAATTTTTAAAAAATCCACGCCTAAGGATAGACTCTTAAAAATAATCTTTAAAAAAAATCCACGCCTAAGGATAGACCTCAAAAAATAATTTTAAAAAATTACGGATTTTTTTTACTTGTATCCTCTCCTTTCACTTCGATTTCATATTTTTTGTTTGTTTGTTTTTTTCCTTCTCTCCATTTCAATGACTATTTGTTAATAAATTTGCCATATACCTATTTGCACAGCTGATTGCATCAATCAGCTCTGTCATTGCCTACTTTTAGGCTGATTTAGGGGAAATAGATTAAAAGGGAAATATTGAGGTGAAATTGGAAAATAAAAAATCTACAATTGAAAAATAAATGTAGGCTTTAGAAAAGTTGTTCTCGATAAGGAATTTATTAAAATTTTTTAGATAAAATTATTTTTTTTCAAAAATATTTTTTTAGAACAAAAATTTTTTTAATTTTTTTTATATATATTTTTTTGAAGAATAGTTGATTTTTTAGCTTTATTTTTAGGAATTCTTAAAAATATTTTTTTGGAAAAAATTTTTTTTTTCGAAAATTATTTTTTTTAATTCTCAAAAAAAAAAAAAAAAAAAAAAAAAAAAAAATACAAACCAAAAAAAACAAAAAAAAAAAATATTTTTTTTAAGAAATATTCAATCTGTTGTGGAAAATATTTTTTATCCTATTTCCCCTTTTATAGCCCAAAACTATGCATTAATTTCAAAATTTAATTTTCCCAAAGCCTTGAAAATGTTTCCAACCTGAATAGAGACCATTTGTCCCCCAGCCTCTTTTCATTACCCCCTCCTCCTCAAAAAATTAAACATAAAACACAACATTGCTAATCAAACAAAAATTATCATCTTCAGTAGTTGTTGTTTTCTCCTCCTTCTTCTCCCTTTCTTCACAACTAATTAAGTAGTCGCAATAACAGCAACAACAAGGAAGCTCTTCACCAAATTTTGGCATTTGTCAATGAATGACATTTACCTTTTTGTTGACTCTCTCTCTGCAGCCATTCAGCAAAAAAGCCCCGACGAATGCAAACACTTTTTTTCCTTTTCGGGCAGATTTTCTTCTTCTAGCTTCCTTGGGATTTTCTTTAAATCCTTGCCTTTCCTTTCATTTTTTTTTTTAAATCCTCTAGCATTGACATTGGCTGGAGTAGGAGGAGGAGGGTCCTTTTGAATTGCGAAAAAAACAAAACCAGCAACGCTCATTTCAAATAGTAAGACTTAAATGCGCCCAAAAGTATGCAATACCATTGAATGAGTGCCGTAGCGTAAATATGCCAGCCTAAAAGTATGCAAAGCACAAAATTTTCTTTCAACCCAACAAATAATAGTTTTTGTTTAACTTTTAGCGCACTTAGGATTTTATTGTTGTTGTTGCTGCTGTTGTGTGTAAACGTAAGTTATGATTATATTAAAAAAATATATTTCAATGGGAAGCCGTGTTTTCTATTCGCTATTTTTTAAGTTCTATTTTTGCCTAAACTGCGGGTATTTGTCTTTCATTTCAAAAAGCGCAAAGTTTTGTTGAGCACATTTTCTACAGGACCAAAAACTATATAATGAACCGAGGCAGTGATTTTTTTAAAAAAATCTACGCCTAAGGCTAGACCCGAAAAATCATATTTAAACCAGTAAGGAAAGTAGTAAAGTCGGACGGAGCCTATATGATACCCTTCACCACTTTGGGTATATTCAACAGATGAATCCTAGCAGACGTCGTATTTTTAAAGGAAAAGTAAAATGAAAGTTCTGCAACCGATACTAAATTTTTCATTTGGTCAGATATAGAAGCTATATCTAAATCTGAACCGATTTTCAGGAAACTTTACACCCATCATTCTGGACCTAATTAACTACCCTATGCCAAGTTTCGTGCAAATCGAAGGATATTAAGGGACTTTGCTGCACTATTTACCGAAAATATATATGGAAGCTATATCTAAATCTGAACCGATCTTCACGAAATTTAGCACACATCATTCTAAGCTTAATTAAGCACGCTGTACCAATTTTCGTGCAAATCGAAAGATATATAGGGCCTTTGGTACACCATTTACCTTAAATCGGACGAAACTATATATAGGAGCTATATCTAAATCTGAACCGATTTTCACGAAACTTAGCACATATCATTCTAGCCTCAATTCAGTATACTATGTAAAATTTCGTGCAAATCGAAGGATACAAAGGGACTTTGGTGCACTATTTACATTAAATCGGACGAAAATATATATGGGAGCTATATCTAAATCTGAAACGATTTTCACAAAATCTAACATACATAGTTCTAGACTTAATTCACTACGCTATGCCAAATTTCGGGCAAATCGAAAGATATATAGGACCTTTGGTGCACCATTTACCTTAAATCGGACGAAGATATATATGGGAGCTATATCTAAATCTGACCCAATTTTCATGAAACTTTGCACACATAGTTTTAGACTTAATTCAGTACGATGTGCCAAATTTCGTGCAAACCGAAGTATAAATAGGGACTTTGGTGCACTATTTACCAAAAATCGGACGAAAATATATATGTGAGCTATATCTAAATCTGAACCGATTTTCATGAAACTTAGCACACATCATTCTGGACCTAATTCATTACGCTGTACCAAATTTCGTGCAAATCGAAAGATATATAGGGACCGTTTACATTAAATCAGACCAAAATATATATGGGAGCTATATCTAAATCTGAACCAATTTCAATAGGGTTCATCCTTGGGCCAAATAAGTGACCTATGCCAAATTTCATCCAACTCGGATCATTAATGCGGCTTGTACTTTGTTTACAATTTAACATGGACAGACGGACATACGGACGGACGGACATGCATATATCGAATCAGAAAGTGATTCTATGCATATTCTCAAAAGGAACCATGTGTCTATTTCGTTTCCTTTTGCCTGTTACAAACATATGCACAAAGACATAATACCCTGTACCACAGAGTGGGGAAGGGTATAAAAATCCACGTCTAAGACTAGACCCCAAAAAGTACTATTTAAAAAACCACGCCTATGGCTAGACCCCAAAAAGTACTATTTAAAAAACCACGCCTAAGGCTAGACCCCAAAAAGTACTATTTAAAAAACCACGCCTAAGGCTAGACCCCAAAAAGTACTATTTAAAAAATCCACGTCTAAGACTAGACCCCAAAAAGTACTATTTAAAAAATCCACGCCTAAGGCTAGACCCCAAAAATCATATTTAAAAAATCCACGCCTAAGGCTAGACCCCAAAAATCATATTTAAAAAATCCACGCCTAATGGTAGACCCTTAAAATCATATTTAAAAAGTCCACGCCTAATGGTAGACCCTTAAAATGGCATTTAAAAAATCCACGCCTAATGGTAGACCCTTAAAATCATATTTAAAAAATCCACGCCTAATGGTAGACCCTTAACATCATTTTTAAAAAATCCACGCCTAAGGATATACCCCAAAAACATATTTAAAAAATCCACGCCTAATGGTAGACCCTTAAAATGATATTTAAAAAAATCCACGCCTAATGGTAGACCCTTCAAATCATATTTAAAAAATCCACGCCTTATAGATAGGCCCTAAAAATATGTTTTAAAAAATCCACGCCTTATAGATAGGCCATAAAAATAATGTTTAAAATATCCAGGCCTCATTCCGATTATTTTTATTTTTTTTTTCAAGCTCTCTTCTCTTTAATTTTTTTTTTTGGCATTTTTTTAAATTGAATTTTCACTTCGAATTCACTGCCGTCGGTAATTTTTTTGAATCACTTCTTCTTTTGCCTTTGAATATTAATTTCAAATTTTCAATATTTTTTTATTTTTCAAACTACCGTAAACCACGTTTAATCGCGCCAAAAGCGCCCCGATGACTGAAACATGCTCGCCGAAAAACATTACAAAACCCTCAAAACCATGCAAACAAACCAGCGCCGATACATTCGACAGACAGACCGAAAAAAATGTGATTTACTTAGACCATAACAGATTCCGACAAATACGCACAGCCACCCACAGACCCACTCACACAACCAACCACACCTCCACAAACACAGACGATTTAATTTTCATTCATAAATATTTTTCATTTTGGCGGGATATCCGTCAGCCTAAGCGCAGACTCCTATGAAAACATATGACTGGCCAGCACATGGCACCCTAAAAGTATGCAGCACACTTGTTGCTTTCCGACACACATACTGGAGGAATTTGTTTGTATGTATTTGTAAATATTTTTGATGGGCAGATGTTCGATGTCGGAAATCCAAAATGACAGCCGGAATTAGACAGTTTTTTGATGGCTTATTTTTGTCGTAGACCAAAGTGATTGAATGATAGGTGGGAGGGAGAGGAGGAGGATAATGGGTGGAGGAGGAGAATGGGTGGAGGTAATTTTGAGGCTGAAGACAACTTAATTATGTTGTCATCGGACTTCGAACAATTTAAGTTGTCATCGAAGCAGTTATTTTATAAATTATGAAATAATTGGGATATGATTTTTGGAAGGGTATAAATAGTGAGGTTAGGTAGCGGAACATTTTAAAAGAGTTTTGAAAATTTTTAAAAAAATACCTACTTTTTGAGGTCCTCGGAAAATTTCTTAAAAAATTCAAAATGTTATATCTACATGTCATCAATATGATTCTATATAATTTTGCGGATCAGCGGTTAGCCTGTGTGGTGATATTTCAATGTTGGCCCAAAGAAGGTAAGACGAAAAAAATTACAAGGCGTGCAGTTTTTTTAAAGGGCATTTTTAGGGGCCTATCCTTAGGCGTGGTTGTTTTAAAAGGCATTTTAGGGGTCTATCCTTAGGCGTGGATTTTTTAAAAGGCATTTTTATGGGCCTATCCTTAGGCGTGGTTGTTTTAAAAGGCATTTTTAGAGGCCTATCCTTAGGCGTGGATTTTTTAAAAGGCATTTTTAGGGGCCTATCCTTAGGCGTGGTTGTTTTAAAAGGCATTTTTAGGGGCCTATCCTTAGGCGTGGATTTTTTAAAAGGCATTTTTAGGGGCCTATCCTTAGGCGTGGATTTTTTAAAAGGCATTTTTAGGGGCCTATCCTTAGGCGTGGATTTTTTAAAAGGCAGTTTTAGGGGCCTATCCTTAGGCGTGGATTTTTTAAAAGGCATTTTTAGGGGCCTATCCTTAGGCGTGGATTTTTTAAAAGGCATTTTTAGGGGCCTATCCTTAGGCGTGGATTTTTTAAAAGGCATTTTTAGGGGCCTATCCTTAGGCGTGGATTTTTTAAAAGGCATTTTTAGGGGCCTATCCTTAGGCGTGGATTTTTTAAAAGGCATTTTTAGGGGCCTATCCTTAGGCGTGGATTTTTTAAAAGGCATTTTTAGGGGCCTATCCTTAGGCGTGGATTTTTTAAAAGGCATTTTTAGGGGCCTATCCTTAGGCGTGGATTTTTTAAAAGGCATTTTTAGGGGCCTATCCTTAGGCGTGGATTTTTTAAAAGGCATTTTTAGGGGCCTATCCTTAGGCGTGGATTTTTTAAAAGGCATTTTTAGGGGCCTATCCTTAGGCGTGGATTTTTTAAAAGGCATTTTTAGGGGCCTATCTTTAGGCGTGGATTTTTTAAAACATATTTTTAGGGTCTATCCTTAGGCGTGGATTTTTTAAAAGGCATTTTTAGGGGCCTATCCTTAGGCGTGGATTTTTTAAAACATATTTTTAGGGTCTATCCTTAGGCGTGGATTTTTTAAAACATATTTTTAGGGTCTATCCTTAGGCGTGGATTTTTTAAAACATATTTTTAGGGTCTATCCTTAGGCGTGGATTTTTTAAAAATTATTTTTAGGGGTCTATCCTTAGGCGTGGATTTTTTAAAACATATTTTTAGGGTCTATCCTTAGGCGTGGATTTTTTAAAACATATTTTTAGGGTCTATCCTTAGGCGTGGATTTTTTAAAACATATTTTTAGGGTCTATCCTTAGGCGTGGATTTTTTAAAACATATTTTTAGGGTCTATCCTTAGGCGTGGATTTTTTAAAACATATTTTTAGGGTCTATCCTTAGGCGTGGATTTTTTAAAACATATTTTTAGGGTCTATCCTTAGGCGTGGATTTTTTAAAAATTATTTTTAGGGTCTATCCTTAGGCGTGGATTTTTTAAAAATTATTTTTAGGGGTCTATCCTTAGGCGTGAATTTTTTAAAAATTATTTTTAGGGGTCTATCCTTAGGCGTGGATTTTTTAAAAATTATTTTTAGGGGTCTATCCTTAGGCGTGGATTTTTTAAAAATTATTTTTAGGGGTCTATCCTTAGGCGTGGATTTTTTAAAAATTATTTTTAGGGGTCTATCCTTAGGCGTGGATTTTTTAAAAATTATTTTTAGGGGTCTATCCTTAGGCGTGGATTTTTTAAAAATTATTTTTAGGGGTCTATCCTTAGGCGTGGATTTTTTAAAAATTATTTTTAGGGGTCTATCCTTAGGCGTGGATTTTTTAAAAATTATTTTTAGGGGTCTATCCTTAGGCGTGGATTTTTTAAAAATTATTTTTAGGGGTCTATCCTTAGGCGTGGATTTTTTAAAAATTATTTTTAGGGGTCTATCCTTAGGCGTGGATTTTTTAAAAATTATTTTTAGGGGTCTATCCTTAGGCGTGGATTTTTTAAAAATTATTTTTAGGGGTCTATCCTTAGGCGTGGATTTTTTAAAAATTATTTTTAGGGGTCTATCCTTAGGCGTGGATTTTTTAAAAATTATTTTTAGGGGTCTATCCTTAGGCGTGGATTTTTTAAAAATTATTTTTAGGGGTCTATCCTTAGGCGTGGATTTTTTAAAAGTCATTTTTAGGGGCCTCTCCTTAGGCGTGGATTTTTTAAAAGGCATTTTTAGGGGCCTATCCTTAGGCGTGGATTTTTTAAAAGGCATTTTTAGGGGCCTATCCTTAGGCGTGGATTTTTTAAAAGGTATTTTTAGGGGCCGTGGATTTTTTAAAAGGTATTTTTAGGGGCCGTGGATTTTTTAAAAGGCATTTTTAGGTGCCTATCCTTAGGCGTGGATTTTTTAAAAGGTATTTTTAGGGGCCTATCCTTAGGCGTGGATTTTTTAAATCTTATTTTTAGGGGCCTATCCTTAGGCGTGGCTTCTTACGGATCTTGAAAAATATTTTTTTAATCTCTCTCTCTCTCTTCAGTCCTCTCTCATTTCTCGTTGGCTGCTGGCAATCACCACCGCTATACCCAATATGTTGATCTCGAGGATCCGCAGGCTCTCGAAGATATGGCTTATGCCTATCTACGTTATCGCCGTCCCAAAATTGGGGTATTTATGGATCTGAACTGCAATCAAACGGTGAGGGTTATTGAAAAGGTAAAAATCCCAACACAAATATTTCTCAATCACATGGAACTGAAAAAATCCTATATCCTATCTCACCCTACAGACAAGTCAGATAAGGTTCTTCAATCAACACTACCACTGGCTCATCTATGATGAGAGGTCTGATATGCCGCGTTTTTATAATCTCTTTAAAAATTCGAATCTCTCGGTGGATACGGATTTGACTTATATGGTACCTAAGGTGGAGCATCAAATTGAAGGAGGAGAAGGAGGGAATCGGAACCGTAGCTACTTCGTGGCCTTTGATGTCTACAATAATGGTTGGCTCATTGGCGGGAAATTGAATATCAGTTCGAATTATGAACTCAGCTGTGGTGCGGAGGGGTGCTTCAAGTCGAAATATCTCACGGATTTGCATAAACGTTCGGTATCCGGAAATCGGGAGGCCTTGAGAGATGTCACCATGAGAGTGGCCGTGGTGGTAAGGAGCCTTTGGAAATTTTGGGAAATTGAAGAGAGTTCTAATTTTATTTTCAGGTAACCCGATATGACCTGAATGCCCCGCCGGAAGAGATCAATAATTTCCTATTGACCCAGGAAGATTTTCATATTGACCCCTTGGCCCGATTGGGATTTCAGGTACTGAGATTGCTGCAGGAGTCACTGTATACCAAGTAAGGGGTTTTCCGAAAAAAAATCTCAGCCTCAGTCACCCTTTCTCTTCCAGAGTCTCCTACACATATTACGATCGCTGGACCGATGTTGAATATACCGGCGGAATTGTGGGTTCTTTGGTAAATGAAACGGCCGATCTGACCTCCGCCCCCTTTTTCATGTCCGCAAATCGTTTTCGTTTCCTATCCTCCCTGGCGGCTACGGGAGATTTTCGTTCTGTCTGTATGTTTCGTACCCCTCGAAATTCCGGCATGCATGGTGGGGTCTTCTTGGAACCGTTCAGCACGAAAGTTTGGATTTTATTCGGTTGTATTTTAATATTGGCTGGGGTTCTACTGTGGTTGGCCTTCTTTATGGAATATCATGAAATGGAGAGATATATTCGGACCTATATCCCATCGTTGTTGACTACTTGCCTGATTAGTTTTGGGTCCGCCTGTGCTCAGAGTAGCTTTCTAATACCCCATTCATGGGGTGGTCGGATGGCTTTTATTTCACTGTCGATTATTACCTTTATTATGTATAATTATTATACCTCGGTGGTGGTATCGTCACTTTTGGGTTCCCCTGTAAAATCGAAAATAAGGACTTTGCGGGAATTGGCCGATTCGGATTTGGAGGTGGGGCTGGAACCGCTACCCTATACATATACCTATTTGAATGTGAGTAAGAAAAAAGTTTTTTTTTAATTTTTAGGAAAAAATGTGGAACTAGAAAAACCGGTTACCAAAACCGGTTACAAAAAACCGGTTACTGATTTTATTAATTTCGTTTCGTTATTTATTTAAAGCATTAAGTAAATTTTTTAATAAAACAAGGAAAAAAATTGGAACCGGTTATATAAGAAGGAACCGGTTACTCAAAATGAAGAGAAATATATTTCATGTTCAATATTTTATGTTATATAAAAAATTAAAATGATTTTTTAAATTTTTACTAAACCCGGTTTCGAACGGGTTACATAAAATAAAAAACCGGTTATTCGATTTTTTGAGACAAATAAAATTTTTAAACAATATTTAGCTATATGTTAATAAATCTCCCATAATTGTGTATAATCAATAGCCGCCACAATTGGTGATTATTAACCGGTTACTTATAATAAAAACACGGTTACTCGTGCTATTTATCACACAAAATGTTTGAAATACATATTTTATATACAGTTTTTCCTTGTATAAATATTCTTTGCTAAAATACGGAATAAAAATTCACCCAAAACTCGGCTATGAACCGGTTACATTATATTAAAATATACGGTTACTAAAAATTTTCTTTACAAAAATTGCTTATTTTAAAATAATTTTGAATATTTATCCTAAATTAGAATTTTAATAACTCAAATACGGTTATTACAAACCGGTTACTTATAAGTAAAAAACGGTTACCCGTTATATTTTCCAATGGAACCGTATATAATAAATATTTTCGATGCAATGTTGTGTGCTACGACATTATTCTAAAAAAATCTATGCTCTAAATTCATTCTAAACCCGGTTATGAACCGGTTACTCGACATAAAAACCGGTTACTCGAAATTTTAAAATCAAATTCTTATTAGAATTTTTTGGGGAATCTTTGTGAAAATGTAAACATTTAATTTAATGTAGTAATTGGCAATTTAGAACCGGGTAACCATTCACCAACGGTATTTAAAATCGATTACTCGGTTGAGAAATTAATGTTTAGCGACATTAAAGGTTATTCATAACACATTTCTACCATATTTGAAGTTTAAGCGGACTCTTTGTGAAAAAGTAACCGATTAATAATCGGTTACTTTATATGAAAACTAGGTTAATTGAAATGTTTAAAATGGATATCAATATATAAACACTTGCGTATCATTGCAGTGCTATAAAAACAATAATTTAAGGAGCTTAAAGAATGTTAGGACCGGGTAACCGTTTATATTTGATACTTAGAAACCGATTATTCGTTTTTTAAATTAAGTTTAGTAACAATAAATTATATTTATACAACATTTTTAAAATACTGGAGGTTTTTAATGCCTTACAGAAAAGTAACCTTGCAGAAAAGTAACCGATTAGTAATCGGTTACTTTATATAAAAACTCGGTTATTCACAATTTTCAAAATGGATTCCTATTTAAAACACTTGCGAACCTTTGTAGTGCTATAAACAATGAATTTTAAATGGTTAAAAGCATTTTAGAACCGGGTAACCGATTATATTTAATACTTCGATACCGATTATTCGCTTTTAAATTTATTTATAATGATTATTATTTTATTTTTACAACATTTTTGTTATATTGGAAAAATTATGTGGCATTTTGTTGATAAGTAACCGATAAATAACCGGTTACTTTATATAAAAACTTGGTTATTCGACATTTTTTTAAATGGATTCCTGTTCTTAAAAACTTGTGAATCTTTGATGTTCCATAAATAATTACATTTTCGAAGTTATAAGCCATTTGGAATCGGGTAACCGATTAAATTCGATACTTCGTAACCGATTATTCGGTTTAAAATTAATAAATAATGATTATTAATTATAAATATACACAATTTTTGCGATATTGGAAGTTTAGAACAACTTTTGTGGAATAGTAACCAATTAATAACCGGTTACTTTTTTTTGAAAACTAGATTATTCGAAACTTTTAAAACGGATTCCTGTTCTTAAAAAATTGGGAGTCTTTGTGGAACTATATACAAAATGTTGTACGAAGTTATAATCAATTTAGAACTGGGTAACCGATTATATATGATATTTCGAAACCGATTACTCGTTTTTGAATTTATGAATTGTGACAATAAATGCTATTTATAGAACTTTGTACGATATTTGAAGTCTTAAGTGACACTTTTGTGAAAAAGTAACCGGTTACTTTTTGTGAAAACTCGGTTATTCACAACTTTTAATGTTGATTGCTATTTTAAAACACTTTCTAATCTTTGTGGTACTATGAAAAATTAAATGTACATACTTATAAGCAATTTAGAACCGGGTAACCACAGAAATGTGTTTTTTTAGAAACCGGTTACCGGTTTCAAAATATTTTTTTAATAACTATTAATGCTAATTAGACAAACATTTTACGACATTTGAAGTCTAATCTAACTTTGGTGAAAAAGTAACCGGTTACCAAAACCGATTGGTTTTCTAAAATTGATTACCAGTTTCAAAATAATTTAATGATGACTATTAATGCTAATTAAACAAAAATGTTATGATATTTGAAGTCTAAAATGAGTTTTAGGCGAAAAGTAACCGGTTACCAAAACCGATTACTTTTCTAAAATCGATTACCGGTTTCAAAATTATTTAATAGTGACTCTTAATACTAATTAATCACAAATTTTAGGATATTTGAAGTCTGAACAGACTTTTAGTGGAAAAGTAACCGGTTACCAAAACCGATTATTTTTCTAAAATCGAGTTTTTTTGGCCCAAATATTTAAAAATAGTTGCCTATACTCTAATTTCATTTATTTTTTCTCTCTTATCTTGGTTTAGTTCTCCTCTCTGCCCGATGTCCAGTACTTCGTGCGCACGAAAATCCTCTCGAAAAAGAATAGCGAAAGTCTTTGGTATTCGGCCAGTGATGGTATTACGAAAATGCGTCAGAAACCCGGTTTTGTATTTGTTTTCGAAACCTCAACGGGTTATAATCTAATCGAGAGGCTGTATGATGCCCATGAAATATGTGACCTGAATGAGATTCTTTTCCGATCGGATACCTTGCTGGCTACGCATTTGCATCAGAATTCGAGCTATAAGGAAATTGTGAGGATGAAGTAAGGGGACCAAGGGAATTAAAAAAAAAATTGAAATAATAAAAATTCTTTTTTCAGAATCATACGCATCTTGGAAACCGGTGTCCATTCGAAACATCGCCGCCAATGGGTTCGGACCCATTTGAATTGTTTTTCGAATAATTTTGTCATAAATGTGGGGCTGGAATATACGGCTCCATTGTTTTTGATGTTATTGTGCGGTTATGGCTTGGTCTTGATTCTATTGTTGTTGGAAATTATGTGGAACCGTTGGGAAATGAAGCAGGAGAGGAAGACCCCGGAGTACTAGGAAGGAGATTTTCTTTATCTCCCTGGGGGAAAATTAATTTGTTGAAAAAAATTCACTTTTAGAACACCAAAATGTTGAACCGGTTTTCCCATATGAAAATACAGTTTGAAGACGACCTCTAATGTATACGTAGATAAAACCGGTTCCCTTTAGTGGCACAAAAGATCTGCACAAAAATTTTGGAAAAAAATAATAAAAATTTTAAAACAAATTTTTGGTGTTTTTATATAAAATAAATGATTTTATTTCAAAACCGGTTATGAACTGGTTACCTTACCCAAAAAACCGGTTACTCGAAAATTTTAATCGCTTATTTTTTTTATTTTAAAATACATACTGAATGATAATTGGATGAACAACCTAAATTTGATTAGATTACTGAATTTCTTAGTGATTAAAAACCGGTTACTTATTAATGAAGCACGATTACCATTGCCATATGAAAATGGAGTTTGAAGACGACCTCTAGGTATTCGTAGATAAAACCGGTTCCCTTTAATGGCACAAAAGATCTGCACAAAAATGTAGACAAAAAATAATAAAAAAATTAAAAACAATTTTTGGTGGTGTTTTTATATACAATTTATGATTTTATTTTCAAACCGGTTATGAATTGGTTACCTTACCCAAAAAACCCGGTTACTCGAAAATTTTTAATCGCTTAATTTTTTTATTTTAAAATACATGCTGAATGATAGTTGGATGAACAACCTAAATTTGATTAAATCAATGAATTTCCTAGTTATTAAAAACCGGTTACTTATTAATGAAGCACGTTTACCCGTGCCATTATCCAACCAAATCGATTTTAATGAATATTTTTTGGTACTGATATTGCAGATTAGATAACTATTATACAAAACCTATAATTTCGAATAATTTTAAAACCGGTTATGAACCGGTTACTTTGCAGAAAACCCGGTTTCTCGATATTTCATAACGAATTTTAAGTTTAAATCCATTGCGAATCATTTTAGATCTATCAAAAATGAATTTAAAGTTTTTATAGTAAATCTGGAACCGGGTAACCGATACCCATAATATGGCTACTCGAAGTTTCTTTTTAAATCTTCCTATTTTTACAGGTTTTGTAAACATATAGCATGTGTTAGTGCTTAAAATACTAAAATCGCGTGGTTATAAACCGGTTACTTACTAATATTAAACGGTTACTCGAGATAGTGTACATCCAAAACGATTTAAATGAATGTATTTTGGTATATGTTTGTCTATTATATAAAAAATATACGAAAACTATACTTTAAATTCATTTTAAATACCGGTTATGAATCGGTTACTTTACACAAATAACCGGTTACTCGAATTTTTTATACGGAATTCTTATTTAAAATTATTAGGGAATCTTTTTAAAACAATAAAAAAATTTATTTAAAGTTATTTTAGAACATTTTGAACCGGGTAACCGATATTTAAAATACGGTTACTCAAATTTTCTTTAATAAAAACATCTTCATTATAAATGATTTCGAATATATTACCTATGTAGTGTTTAAAATACTCAAATATAGTGATTAACAACCGGTTACTTGATAATATAGTACGGTTATTCGTGATTTGTGTTCAACCAAATCGATTTAAATGAATATTTTTTGGGTTAATGTTGTCTATTATAGAACTATTATACCTAAACTAAATTTTAAATTCATTTTAAAACCGGTTATGAACCGATTACTTTTCATAAAAAACCGGTTACTCGAAATTGTTGTAACGAATTTTCATTCTAAATTCATTGCAAATCTTTTTAGACCTATCAAAAATAAATTTCAAGATCTTTTAATGAATTTTGAACCGGGTAACCGATACTCAAATTACGGTTACTTGATTTTATTTTTCATAAAACTTCATATTTATTGAAGGATTGTAAATATATGTCCTATATTAGTGTTAAAAATATTTAAATTTAGTGTTTATAAACCGGTTACTTATTAATATGGTACGGTTACTCGTGATTGTTATCCCTTCAAAACGATGTAAATGATTATTTATTGTGTGAATGTTGTCTAATATATAACTATTATACCAAAACTGTAATTTTAAGTTATTATACAACCGGTTTTGAACCGGTTACATGACTTCCAAAAAAAAAACCGGTTACTCGAAATTTTTATAGCGATTTTAAATTCAATAAAAATATTTTTAGTTCCAACTAAAATTATTTTCAAGTTCATATAGGAACTTTTGAAACGGGTTACCGATATTCGAACGGTACGGTTACTCGAAGTTTCTATAACATTTTTTTTATTTAAGCAGCGATTTATTAAATTTTCTTTTGGAAAAATACGCAAAATAACCGATTATCCTTCATTTTAGCGATTTTTTTATTTTGGCGTTTTTTATTTTAATAAAAAAACGACATAAATATTATTTTGATTTTTTTCAAAATAATTTTAAGGTTTATTAAATTTTCTTTAACAAGAAATTCTGACAATTAATTTTAGCGATTTTTTTCTTTTTGGCGTTTTTTGATTTTTAAACAATAAAAATCACTTTTACGTTTTTTTATTTTAGAGGTGATTATTTATTAAATTTTCTTGAAAAAATTAATCTAATATTAATTTGGCGTTTTTCATTTCGTCGGTTATTTTATTTTGGCGGTTTTTTATTTTGGCGTTTTTTTATTTTGGCGTTTTTTATAAACTTTTTAGGTTTTTTTTATTTTAGCAGTAAATATTTAATAAATTTTCTTTTCTAAAAAGAATCTGAAAATCAATTTTAGCGTTTTTTTATTTTAGCGATTTTTTTATTTTGGCGTTTTTTACTTCATGCAAAAAGGGCAACATTTTTATTAATTATAATTATTTCTATTCGATTTTTTGTTATAAATCATTAAAAAATTATAATAATAATAATTCAGCTTATCCATCCCTGGGCCTCAATGGAGAACCATCCTCCTGCGGCATCGATTATCCTTCTTTAAAAATTCCAATTTGTTTACTTAACCTGTCAACGCATCCCGCTGACAAGCTGTCAGTAAATTGTCAAGCCATGTCCGCTAAAACAAATATTTGTACAACAGCTCACTTAGGAATTATTTGTTTTAAGAAATCTTAACAGAGAGGTCTCAGCTAATAGTTCGACAGTCAAGGTTCCGTTTAGACCTGTTCTTCGACATTTTTTTTTGAGGAGGCCTTAAAAATGGTAAATTTATTATTCTTAAAATTATTGTTATATAATTTTGTGGAAAATCGCCTAAAATGGGTTTTGATTTTTCACTGTTGGAATAGTGGTGGTAAGTTGGCGGGAGTGGAGGGTACCTCCCCCCTCATCAGGGAAGTGTCGTGATAAAAAAATATTTTTTTAAATTTTTTTCTCTCTAGTCCAAGTAAAATTTTCAGATATGTTGATGAACCAGCAAATGTATGCCCAATTTTGGCACATAAATTCCCTCAAGGGGAATGAGGTTATGTCGGTGGCGTATTTCCGGCATTTGTCACCCTTGGTTGGAGTATATTTTGATTTTAATTGCCAAAAATCGGAGGAGTTTTTAAAGAAGGTAAGTTGATGATGTTTTGAATAAACAAATTAAAAAATAACTTATAAATACCGAAACAAACCTTCAAAACCCTGAAAATTGGGGCGGAACCATTATATGGGTGCTAAGGCACAACATGGACCCACATTGAAAATTTTCTAAAAAGATGATTTCACCCTCCCAGAATATGGAATGCTGATTTGCAGCCACATCGGCAGGAAAATGAAGCTATAACCTTTAGAAACCCCGAAATTATTGTCTCGTCAGTGGTTTAAATCCACCAACAAATCTTCAAAATACTGAAAATAAGGTCGGGACCCCTTTTCGGGAGCTGGGTCAGCACATGGACCTATATCGAAAATTATCTGAAAATACGTTTTTCCACACCTCAAGAACCGCGATGCCAAATGGCAGTCCAATCGGTGGGAAACATTAGGCTATAACCTTCAAATATCCTGAATATGGGGGCGGAACCTTTATATGGGGTTATGTAAAAATATGGACCTAAATTGAAATATATTTGCGAAGCAATTTTGTACCATCCAAGAACCCAGAATGAAAAATTGGAGCTGATTCTGTAAGCTACATGCGGATAAAACCGATTATCCGAAGCCTACGGATAAAATTATTCGATTATCTGCAGTGGGTATTTCATAAAATCTTATTATCCGAAGGCTTTGGATAACAAAAACCGATTATCCGAATCATTCCGATAACGAAAATATATTATCCGAAGTCTCAGGATAACAAAAACCGATTATCCGAAGACTTTGGATGACGAAAATCGATTATCCGAGGACTTCGGATAACTGAAACCATTTATCCAGAGCCTTTAGATAACTTGAGTCGATTATCCGCAGTCTTTCTCTAACAAAAATTCATTATACGAAGCTTACGGATAACAAAAACCGAATATCCGAAGCCTATAGATGTCAAAAACCTATTATCCGACTAACTTCTATAAGGAAAACCGATTATCCGAAGCCTACGAATAACAAAAACTGATTATCCAAAGTCAGTGGATAACAAAAAACCGATTATCCGAAACATTCGGATAACGAAAATCGATTATCCGAAGTCTCAGGATAACAAAAACAAATTATCCGAAGCCTTTGGAAAACAAAAACCGATTATCCGAATCACTTGAATAACGAAAATCGATTATCCGAAGTCTCAGGATAACAAAAACAAATTACCCGAAGCCTTTGGATAACAACAACCGACTTTCCGAATCACTTAGATAACTAAAATCGGTTATCTGAAGTCAGTGGATAACAAACACCAATTATCCGAATTATTTGGATAACGAAAATCTATTATCCGAAGTATTTGGATAACAAAAACCGATTATCCGAAGCATACGGATAAAAAAAAACTGATTATCCAAAGACAAGGGATAAAAAACGATTATCCGAATCATTCGGATAACGAAAATCCATTATCCGAAGCCTACGGATAACAAAATCCGATTATCCGAAGTCAGTGGATAGCAAAAACCGATTATCCGAGCCTTTAGAAAATTTGAGTCGATTATCCGCAGGCTTTTTCTAACAAAAACGGATTGTCTGAAACCTGTAGATGACAAAACCCGACTATCCGAAGAATTGGATAATCAAAAACCCATTATACGAGGCATTTGTATAACTAAGACCGATTTTCCGCAGCCTTTTTTAACAAAACCTCATTATCCGAAGCCTACGGATAACAAAAACCGATTATCCAAATCACCTGGATAAAGAAAATCGATTATCCGAAGTCAGTGAATAACAAAAACTGATTATCCGAATCATTCGGATAACGAAAATTAATTATTCGGGGCCTTTGGATAATAAATCCCGACTATCCGAAGTACTTGGATAACGAAAATCGATTATCCGAAGCCTTTGGATAACAAACACCGATTATCCGCAGTCTTTTTATAACAAACCCCTATTATCCGAAGACTTTGGATAAGTACGAAATACGAGGATAGCAAAATATCGTTATCCGTAACAATTATCCGCATTATCCGAATAATAAAAATCTCTTATCCGCATTATCCGGATATTGTAAATAATTTAACCGGGTAATAAAAATCGTTTATCCACGTTATCCGGATGATAAGAATCGTTTATCAGTTGTATCCGGACGATAAAAACAGTTGTTCGCTTTATCCGCGTAATGAGAATCGTTTATCCGCGTTATCCGGATGATAAGAATCGCTTCTACGCGTTATCCGGATAATGAAAATCGTTTATCCGCATTATCCGGATAACGAAAATCGTTTGTCCGGATGATACAAATCACTTCTACACGTTATCCGGATAATGGAACAATTATCCGCATTATTCGAATAATAAAAGTCTCTTATTCGCATTATCCGGATATTGTAAATCATTTATCCGGGTAACAAAAATCGTTTATCCACGTTATCCGGATGATAAGAATCGTTTATCAGTTGTATCCGGACGATAAAAACAGTTGTTCGCTTTATCCGCGTAATGAGAATCGTTTATCCGCGTTATCCGGATAATGAAAATCGATCATCCACTTTATCGGGATAATGAAAATCGTTTATCCGCGTTATCCGGATAACGAAAATCGTTTGTCCGGATGATACAAATCACTTCTACACGTTATCCGGATAATGAAAATCGTTTATCCGGGTTATCCGGATGATAGAAATCGCTTATCCGCTAATAAAAACCGTTTATCCGCATTATCCGGATAATAAAAATTGCTTATCCGGGTTATCCGGATAATAAAAATCTGTTATGCGCATTATCCGATTAATGCAAATCATTTATCCGGATATAGTAAATCATTTATATGGGTAATAAAATTGTTTATCCGCATTATTCGGATGATAAGAATCGTTTATCCGCTTTATCCGGACGATACAAATAGTTTTCCCGCTTTATCCGCATAATGAAAATCGTTTATCCGCTTTATCCGGATAATAAAAATAGTTTATCCGCTTTATTCGGATATTAAAAATCGTTTATCCGCATTATCCGAATAATAAAAATCGCTTATCCGGGTTATCCGAATAATAAAAATCGCCTATCCGTGTTATCCGAATAATGAGAATCGTTTATCCGCATTATCCGGTTAATGAAAATCGTTTATCCGCTTTATCCGGACACAATTTTTTTTTATTTTCCCCTTTCCCTCTCTCCTCTCTTCCCTCCACAGGTCAGCGATGAGAAGCTATTCCGCCAACATTTCCATTGGCTAATCTATGATGAGAAATCCGATCTACAACGTTTTCAAAATCTCTTCGAAAATTTCAATATGGCCGTGGATGCTGATGTCACCTATGCCTTTCCGAATCCGGATATTTTACAGGGAACCAACAATATGACCTTTATAACCTATGATGTCTATAATAATGGCTATTATTTAGGAGGATCTCTCAATATGACAGCGGATAGGGAAATCCAATGTTCGTCAGCGGGATGTACCCTGAAGAGATATCTGTCGACGCTGTATGAAAAGACACGCCATGAAAATCGTTGGCTGTTGAAGGATATTACCATGAGGGTGACAACGGTGGTAAGTAGGAAGGGGATACAGAGGGGAGAAAGGGAAGGGAGAGGGTAAAAAGTAATGGGAAGGGGGTAGGGGAGGTTATTTTGAAATTTAAATTTTGAATTATTTTTCCTCAAGACCACTCAAATGCCTCATACCGATCCCGCCGACAAAATTTTGGATTTTCTGGCTTCAGAAAAGAAGAAAAATATCGATGCCATTGCCAGGTTCGGATTTGGTTATATTATGCTATTGAAGGATAACATTGGATGCCGGTGGGTATGGAAAATTATTGGAAAATTAAAGAAAATTTTTTAAATAATGTTTCCAGCTATTTCCACAATTTCACCAATACCTGGAGCCTAACGGAAGCAACTGGTGGGGTCGTTGGGGCCCTGGGCATTGATCAGTCGGCTGAGCTGTCCTCTTCACCATTTCTCATATCCAAACTTCGGTTGAACTATGTAAAGCCCACCATGCCTCTGGGCAACTTTCGCCAGGTTTGCATTTTTCGAACCCCACGCAATGCCGGAATACGCGGTGAGGTCTACCTCGAACCATTTTCCGCCAAAGTTTGGTTTATATTCGGCGGCATAATTCTATTGATTGGATGTGTGCTGTGGATAACCTTTGTCGTTGAATATCGTCAGCTAAAATTCTATTTGACTTTTTTACCTTCGTTGCTGAGCAGCTGTCTGCTGGCATTCGGGTCGGCATGTTGTCAGGGTAGCTTTTTGGTACCCAAATCGACGGGTGGACGAATGACATTTTTCTCGCTTTCGCTGCTGACATTTATTATTTATAATTATTACACTTCGATTGTAGTGGCCATATTATTGGGTTCTCCTGTGAAGTCGAATATCAAGACCCTGGCCCAGTTGGCGGAAAGTAATTTGGATGTGGCCATGGAACCAATACCCTATACGAAGTCGTATTTGAATGTGAGTATAAGAAATGTATTATTTTATTTTTATAACCTCCACCATAAGGTGGAGGTATCCTTCTTATATTCACTGGAGACCCCACGAAATATATATTTTCCTGATCGGAATAAAATTCTATGCAGATTTACCCAGAACCGTCTGTTGAAATTCCGATAGAGCTCACATTTGGGTTCGCATTTGGTAGAGATTCATCCTACAAAAAATTATCAATATTGGTCCACTTTTAGGGGTAGTCTCCATGTAACCGAACCTCTCAATTTTCGATATTTTGGGGAGCTTGGGTACGGTTTTTAACCTAATTGGCTGTAATTTGGTATTATGGGTTCTCATTGGGTAGAGATTCATCCTACAAAAAATTATCAATATTGGTCCACTTTTAGGGGTAGTCTCCATGTAACCGACTCTCTCAATTTTCGATATTTTGGGGAGGTTGGGTACGGTTTTCAACCTAATTGGCTGTAATTTGGTATTTTGGGTTCTCATTTGGTAGAGATTCATCCTACAAAAAATTATCAATATTGGTCCACTTTTAGGGGTAGTCTCCATATAACCGAACCTCCCAATTTTCGATATTTTGGGGAGCTTGGCTACGGTTTTCAACCTAATTGGCTGTAATTTAGTATTATGGGTTCTCATTGGGTAGAGATTCATCCTACAAAAAATTATCAATATTGGTCCACTTTTAGGGATAGTCTCCATGTAACCGAACCTCTCAATTTTCGATATTTTGGGGAGCTTGGGTGCGGTTTTCAACCTAATTGGCTGTAATTTGGTATTATGGGTTCTCATTGGGTAGAGATTCATCCTACAACAAATTATCAATATTGGTCCACTTTTTAGGGAAAGTCTCCATATAACCGAACCTCCCAATTTTCGATATTTTGGGGAGCTTGGATACGGTTTTCAACCAAATTGGCTGTAATTTGGTATTATGGGTTCTCATTGGGTCGAGATTCATCCTACAAAAAATTATCAATATTGTTCCATTTTTAAGGGTAGCCCCCTTATGACCGACCCTCAAAAAGTTCGATGTTTTGGGGAGCTTGAGCACTGATTGTAATTTGACTCTTTGGGTTCTCATTGGGTGGCAAATCTTCCTACCAAAAATTATAAATATTGGTCCACTTTTTAGGTTGGTGCCCATATAAGCGAACCTCCCAAATATTGGTATTCTAGGGAGCTTGGGCACATTTTTCAACCGAATTGGTTTTAATTTAGTATTTTGGTTTCTCATGGGGTGTCCAATCTTTCTACCAAATATAGTCAATGTTGGTCCACGTTTTGGTATACCGCCCATACGACGACACCCCAAATATTCCGTATTTATAGGAACTTGGGCACTTTTTTTCAACCGAATTGATTGAAATTTGGTATTAAGAGTTCTCATAGGGTGGCAAATATTTCTACCAAAAATCGTCAATATCGGTGCACCTTTTGGTATAGCTCCCATATGATGGACTTGGGGAGCTTGGGCATGTTTTCCAACCTAATTGGCTGTAATTTGGTACTTAGGGTTCTCATTGGTTGGCAAATCTTCCTACCAAAAATTATCAGCATCGGCCCACTTTTTAGGGTAGTCTCCATATAACCGAAGCTCCCAAATTTCGGTATTCTGGGGAGCTTGGATAAGTTCTTCAACCTAATTGGCTGAAATTTGGTATTGTGGGTTTTTATTGGATAGAAAATCTCCTTACCAAAAATTATCAATATCGGTCCACGTTTTGATGTAGCCCCCATATAAAGGTACCCCTAATTTTCGGTATTTTAGCCACGTTTATCGAGCGATTAGCCTGCAATTTGGTATTTTGGGTTCGCATAAGTCGTCGAATGTTTCTACCAAAAATTATTAATATCGGTCCATGTTTTGGTATTGCACTCATATAATCGGACCCTTAATTTTCGATGTATTGCGGATTTCAGACACGTTTATCAACCGAATTGGCTGTAATTTAATATATTGGGTGCTCATTAGGTGCTTAACCTTTCTACCAAAATTGATCAATATCGGTCCATGCTTTCATATAGCGCCCATATAAAAATACTCCTAATTTACGATATTTTGTGGATTTAAGTCACGTTTATCGAGCGGTTAGCCTGTAATTTTGTATTTTGGGTTCGCATAAGGTGCTAAACCTTCTTTTCAAAAACAATTCGATATCGGTCCACTTTTTGATATAGCCCCCATATATAATCGGACCCTTAATTTTCGATATTTTATCGAGCGATTAGCCTGTAATTTGATATTTTGGGTTCTCATTGGTTGTCAAACCTTCCTTCCAAAAATAATCAATATCGACCCACGTTTTAATATAGCCCCCTTTATAATCGGACCTCTAATTTTCGATATTTTGCGAATTTCACACAATTTTATCATTGCCGAATTGCCTAAAATTTTATATTTTGCGTTCACATAAGGTTCCACATCTTCTCACCAAAATTTATCGACATCGGTCCAAGTTTCGATATAGCCCCCACATAATCGGACACCTAATTTTCGGAATTATGCAGATTTCTCACATGTTTTCTAAGCGATTTGGCTGTAATTTAGTATTTTGAGTTCTCATGAGGCACAAAACCTTCCTACAAAAATTCGTAAATATCGGTCCATTTTTTTATATAGCCCCCATATAATCGGATCTCTAATTTTCGATATTTGGCGAATTTCTCAAATGTTTTCCAACCGAATCGGCTATCGTTTAGTATTTTGGGTTCTCTTGAGGCAACTAATCTTCCTGTAAAAATTCATAAATATTGGTAAAAGTTTCAGGGTAGCCCCCATATAACATAACCTCCAATTTTATGTATTTTGCGGATTTCTCACATGTTTTACAACCGAATTGTCTATACTTTTATATTTTGGGTTCTCATAAGGTGCCAACCCTTCCTTCCAAAAATTATCAAAATCGGTACACTTTTTGATATAGCCTCCATATATATATATACCCCCAATTTTCGATATTAGGCGGATTTCAGACTTGTTTATCAACCGATTTGGCTATAATTCAATATATTGGGTTCTCATAAGGTACTTAACCTTCCTACCATAAATTATCAATATATGTCCACATGTTCATATAGCCCCCACATAATCGGAATCCTAATTTTCGATATTTTTCAGATTTCTCACATATTTTTCAATCGAATTGGCTCTAATTTGGAATTTTGTGTTCGCATTAGATGTCGAATCTCCCTGCCAAAAATGATCAATATTGGTCCACGTTTTGATATAGCCCCCATATAATCCGACCTCTAATTTTCTATACTATGCCGATTTCCGACCTGTTTTCTATCCGATTTGGCTCTAATTTGATATTTGGAGTACTCATTAGGTGCCAAATCTTTCTACCAAAAATTGCAATATTCGCTGTATCTTAGGTTATAGACCCCCATATAAGTGTCCCGTGCCTTTAGAGGTATTTTGAGGGTCCTAGACTCATTTTCCATACGAAATCACTTTATTTTGCCATTACGTAGCTTCATTCTGTGATCTTGGTGGGTAAAAATCTTCCTCATAGAAGATTTTCAATATAAGTCCATATTTCCGAATTTTCCCCATTTTCTGCCCTCGCCTAATATTTCCACCTAAGTGTCTGTAATTCGGTATTTCGTTTTTTCTTGTCTGAAATTTACCTTGGCATATCCTCCCATATCAAAAATTCCTATCTATTTAGGTGATTTGTATGTTCGAACTCATGTTACAGGATATAAAAAATTCGACTCTGTCGAACCTATAGCCTATTTTATTAATTTTCCTCTTTTTCCCCGACAGTTCTCAAAGTTGCCTGAAATCCGCACCCTGGTGCGTAATAAAATCCAAGCGAAAAAGGACTCCAAAAGTGTTTGGATACCCATTGCGGAGGGTGTGCGACGGGTACGTGATGAACCCGGATTTGTTTATGTCACCGAATCGTATTCCAGTTATTCGTTGATTGAAAATACCTATACCGCCAAGGAGATATGCGATCTCAATGAGATATTGTTTCGACCACAAGAAATTCTGCACGAACATGTCAATGTCAATTCGAGCTATGTGGAATTTATACGTTATAAGTGAGTAGAGGAGAGAGAGAGAGAGAGAGAGAGAGAGAGAGGGGAAGGGGGAGAGAGGGGAAGAGATGAAAAGAGAGGGAGAGAGAGAGAGAGTGGGAGTGTGGAGAGAGAAAAACAATTATGAAAAATTTATTCTTTTCCAGACAAGTTCGCATCTTTGAATCTGGGGTACATCGTCGCTTGCAGGGTATTTGGGTAAAGACCCGTTTGCCATGTTTCCTATCGAGTGGCTCCTTGGTCCAAGTGGGTTTGGAATATACCGCTCCACTGTTCATCATGCTGGCCTGTGTGTATGTGCTGGTTTTTATGCTGCTGCTCTTGGAGATCCTATGGCATAAATATGTGGAGAATTTGGAAGTCAAGGAAATTTTGGGCGGATTGATGAAGGACAACTAAAATTTTGGAAAAAAATATTTCAATTTTTCGATTGCACCAAAAAAAAATATCTATATGTTAGTGATCACTTCGTTTCACAAATTTCAATGTAGTTGCACAATTGATGTGAATAAAAAATTTTGAAAAAAAAATGTTGGGTTATGTTGAAGGCCTTGCCAAAAAAGAACCCTAATATTCGGTATGCAGATTTTGGCCACATTTATTAACCAAATTGGGTGTAATTTGATATTTTAGGTTCGCACAAGGTGTGGAATCTTCCCACCAAAAATTATCGATATCGGTACATGTTTTGTCTTAGGTCCCATATAATCGGACCCCTAATTTTCGGTATTTTGCAGATTTTAGACACATTTATAAACCAAATTGGCTGTAATTTGGTATTTTGGGTTCGCACAAGGTGTGGAATCTTTCCACCAAAAATTATCGGTATTGGTTTTTGTTTTGATATATCCCCCACATAATCGGACCCCTAATTTTCGATTATTTGCGGATTTTGGCCAAATTTATTCACCAAATTGGTTGTAATTTGGTATTTGGGGTTCTCATGAGGCACCAAACCTTCTTACCAAAAATGATCAATATCGGTCCAGGTTTTGGTATAGCCCCCACACAATCGGACACCTAATTTTCGATATTTTGCAGATTTTGGCAACGTTTTCAAGCAAATTGTTTGCAATTTGGTGTTTAGGGTTCTCATGAGGTAGCAAACCTTCCTACCAAAAATGATCCATATCGGTCCACGTTTTGATATAGCCCCCACACAATCGGACACCTAATTTTCGATATTTTGCAGATTTTGGCCACGTTTTTTCAAGTAAATTGTCTGTAATTTGGTCTGTGGCGTTCTGATGAGGCACCAAACCTTCCTACCAAAAAACATATCCATCGTGTCGCCGGGTCTGACCACCTCCCTATTATCAAATCCATCAACAGACCACCCGATTTCATAACTTCTGAACGCCGTACTTTCCTTAATCATGGGAAAGCCAATTGGCAAGAGTTCAGAAATTTCACCAATCGTCGCTTCAGAGAACTGTCCATCCCTTCTGATGTTCGGGTAGCAGAAAGGAATTTCCGGGACATCATCACTGCTGCAAGCGCTCGCTATATACCTGCGGGTCGTATACCCGAACTAAGACCTAACTTTCCAGAAGAGGCAGCGGGACTAGCGAATGAGCTTCGTCGTTCTAACCCTACTAACCCCAGAGTCAGAGAACTGACGTTGGAAGTGAACAGGTTAGTCGGCGAGCATAAGCGGAAAGGTGGCTAGAACATCTGAAGTGTTGCAACATCAGTACCGGAGTGAGTAAATTGTGGGCAACGGTTAAGTCGCTCTCGAACCCTGGAAAGAAGGAGGATCGGACTTCTCATTTCTCATTTAACGGCGTTGATTTGACAGATCCGAAGAGATGCGCCTGTTTTTTCAACCGGCCATTTATAGAACACCCCGAGAGTGACCGGGCGAAGAGAAGAGTATTGCGCCGTATACGCTCTCTTCAGGTGGAGGAGGAACCACCACAATTTACGTTGGAGGATGTTGCAAATGTCATCAGGAACTCGAAATCATCCAAAGCGCTTGGTCCAGATGTAATCTCAATGGTGATGTTGAAGCAGCATGATGAGCCAGGATTAGATTATCTCATCAAAGCCCTCAACTTGTCGTTAATCACCCTAGCAGATCCCAATGCCTGGGTGGGTGGTCCCGCTACTGAAGCCGGGCAAGGATGCCAGCAAAGGTGAGTCATACAGACCGATCTCACTTTTGTCGCCCAAGACACTTGAGGCTTTACTACTCCCCAGCATTCGTGAATGCTACTCAGTTGCTGATCATCAGCATGTGTTCCGGAAGCAGCACAGCACAACAACAGTTTTGTACGCCATTCTGCCGCACACATAGCAGAAGGACTCATCCAGAACAGACCGTGTAACAGGACAGTCATGGTGGTGCTAGACCTATCAAAGGCCAGCCACGCCAAGCTGTTCGAGGACATCGAGATAACAACCCTCCAGCCAAGTTTGAAATGTTGGATCGTGAACTATATGCGCGGACGCTAGTCGTACCTGGAATTCAGAGACAGGAAATCGAAGGCCCGTAGAATTAAACAGGGAGTTCAAGGAGCGGTTCAAGGAGCGGTGATATCTCCGGAACTGTTTAACTTCTACCTCTCTGGAATTCCACGTCCACCGGACGGCATAAAGATCAAAACATATGCGAATGATTGCACGATTATGGCGCCAGGACCTAAAATTGATGACATTTGCGAGAGGCTCAACCACTATCTCGTGGATATCGCTATGAAAATATCCGCCACTAAGTCAACGGCCACTGTGTTTACCACATGAACAGCGGAGATGAGGCTATCTTTGGATGGGCAGGTCGAGGGGTTCACAATTCCGACCACTAATTACCCCAAGGTTCTAGGGGTCACATTCGATAGGCTATACAAGTCGTACGCGCATGCCACAGCTATTTGCGATAAAGTCAGGAGCAGAAACAAGGTTCTCAAGTCGCTAGCCGGCAGCACTTGGGGAGCTGACAAGGAAACCTTGTTAACGACTTATAAAGCAAACTATGCGGCGCCAGTGTGGTCCGCTAACGTCAGTGCAACGCAGTGGTCGCAGTCTTCAATCCTGCCAGAATGCCGGCCTGAGGACTGCAACAGGGTGTCTCCTCATGACTCCAATAGACCACTTACATGAGGAGACGAAGATCCTTCCTGTGCGTCAACACAACAAGATGTTATCGATGCAATACATGCTTGGGTGTTATAGGAGCAGCCATTCAAACAGCTACCTAATGGATAGGCACCCACCACCCAGACATGTCAGGAAGGATCTCCATGATATGGAGAGAGAGGTCCAGAGGTACAAAAGGGAGCATCTAGATCAACAGGCCAATCAAGCAGGATTGAATAGTATTCACACGGACGCAGTTGAGGAAGCAGTTCAAGAATATCGCGTGAATATCATCCTCGGAGACCATCCGCCTTTGATAGCTGCAGAAGAGCAGCAGCTACCTCGACAAACTAGAGTGGTCTTGGCGCAACTGAGATCTGGATGGTGTAGCCGCCTCAATTCGTATTGGTCGCGAATTGATGGAGAGGTCGACAATGTCTGCCCGTCGGCATTTGGTAACGGACCACATGATACGCTACATCTGTTCAACTGCCCAGCCAAACCCACTCACCTAACCCCATCTTCTCTTTGGACTGAACCAATACAGGTCGCAGCCTTTCTGAATTTGGAGTTAGAGGCAGAACCAGATTAAAGAAATAGAAAACTATACAGCAGTACTAGCTGTTACAACAACAACAACCAAAAATGATCAATATCGATCTATGTTTTGTCATAGGCTCCATATAATCATAACCCATAATTTTAAGCTCCATGGACGATCAATGACCTTTAAAGCTTTGGTTGCTAGTTTTAGAAAGTAGCCAAAACTGAAGGGGACCGTACTTTCCCGTGGCATATTTTTCTTATGGCGCCTGAAGTGGAATATTTTGCGTAGGACACTTCGATACCTCTTGACAGATGTTTGAATTAATATTTTTTTTTATTAAAACAACAACAACCAATTACAGTTATCACGTTTTGTGTCAACAATTTAAATATATAACGAACGAAGTATATATGCCTATATACATATATATATATATATGATATAAATCATTCGATTATTAATTGAAATCGAGCATGCCATTTTTCTGCAACAGCATCTTCGGAATCAATTAAAAGAAATTGATTTAAAAAAAAATAAAACAATTTGTTGTTGTTGATGGTGATGCTGATGACGGTTCATTGGTCCAGATAGGCAACACACCCCTTTTATTGAGGTACTCTATGTGTATGCGGAGCGACACAGACGTCATACACAAATGGATGGATATATGTGGCGTGACAACAAAAAAAATCCGCAATAGGCAAGAAGTTGAACATAATTGCTGATAACTGTATAGGAAAATTCCGCAAAATTTTCTGCGGAATTTCCACACAATTTTATTGTTCCTTTGGTGTGTAACTTTAAATGCAAATACGTCAAAAATAAAAGAAATGAGAACTTCGAGGACCTTTGGGATTTTTTTTTAATATTTTTTGGAGGCCTTCATATAGGCGTGGATTTTTATACCCTTCACCACACTGTGGTACAGGGTATTATGTCTTTGTGCATATGTTTGTAACAGGCAAAAATAATCGAGATAGACCCATGGTTCCTGTTGAGAATATGCATAGAATCACTTTCTGAATCGATTTATGCATGTCCGTCCGTCCGCCCGTCTGTCCATGTTAAATTGTAAACAAAGTACAGGTCGCATTTATGATCCGATTTGGATGAAATTTGGCACAGATCATTTGTTTGGCTCAAGGACGAACCCTATTGAAATTGGGAAAAATCGGTTCAGATTTATATATAGCTCCCATATATAGTTTCGCCCGATTTACGGACTTTAGACCCTGAAAATCTTTCGATTTGCACGAAATTTGGCATAGCGTACTGAATTGAGCCACGAAAGATGTGTGCCAAGTTTTGTGAAAATCGGTTCAGATTTAGATATAGCTCCCATATATAGTTTCGCCCGATTTACGGACTTTAGACCCTGAAAATCTTTCGATTTGCACGAAATTTGGCATAGCGTACTGAATTGAGCCACGAAAGATGTGTGCCAAGTTTCGTGAAAATCGGTTCAGATTTAGATATAGCTCCCATATATAGTTTCGGCCGATTTTTGGTAAATGGTGTACCAAAGTCCTTATATATCTTTCGATTTGCATGAAATTTGGCATAACGTACTGAATTGAGGCTAGAATGATGTCTGCCCAGTTTCGCGAAAATCGGCCCAGATTTAGATATAGCTCCCATATATAGTTTCGTCCGATTTCATGTTAATGGTGCCCCAAAGTCCCTATATATCTTTCGATTTGCAGGAAATTTGGCATAACGTACTGAATTGAGCCTAGAATGATGTCTGCCCAGTTTCGAGAAAATCGGTCCAGATATA